CCGCGTCCACACACTGCCAATATTTCTTGTCAGCAGTACATGTCACACTCATCCTGCTGTCAAATAGCTTTGAACGTAGCCACTCCAACCTACGTGCTACTCACTCCTATTGCTTCTTGTTATCCGCTGGCTTGTCCCATTTTACCCATTCCTGGGTCTGGCTGGCGTTAACATGTTTTTGTTTATCTCCTCTTCTAATAGTATAAACCGGACCATGTCTCCTGATAAAAGTGTGTGGCCCTACACAAGTTGGAAGGAGTTTCCATGAATCTGGCCTTCATTAAACTGTACACTTTCTTCCTCTGCACTTTATTTGATCTCCTGCTGCAAAGGTTATGCGTTTCATCCTTCTCACTGTTCAGATTTGGTGGCATCCATCTCCTATTTATGCTTTACGTTTTTGACGGCGTTTCTCCATTTTGTTAGCGACCTCATTATGCTCCACGGTTTGTGAAGTGGACAGGTTTTGTAGTGTACAGGTATTCGTGGTTTCCTACGGCATATCGACTGAACAAGCGACTTCTTTGTTTTCTTTCAGTGCACAGCTGTTTCTTTCAGTCAAAACATTCGTTTGTGGATGATATGGTGTTGTTCTGATCTTCATGATACCAAGCTATTACAAACGGGGAGTGAATTCTTCCCTTTCAAAACAAGGACCCTGACCTGTCAATATCGTCTATGGCATGCCATGGTCTGCAACGATGTGTCGAGCTACTGCATCGGTCACAATTCTCGTGCGCTGATCAGGAATAGCGACAGCGTCTACCTATCATGTGTCGTGTTCCGTCATCACCAGGGTGTATTGATTGCCACTGGATGTCTGTGGAAACGGACCCATCAATCTACAGACCTCAAGTCACCTCCTGTGTGATTGCCATTGACTGCAGAAGCGGTCGTATGCATCGACCTCCTTTCATCAACTGGCACTGCGGACATCCAAGTACATATTTTGCAACATCTTTTCTCATACCTGACCAGTACATGCTTTGTCTCAAGAGGTCGGTTGTTCTGGCCACTCCTCAATGTGCTAGCTAGTGACATTCTTGTATCATCTCATGGTGTATGGACTGAGGCATTACTTCCAACCAGCTTCCACCACTCCCTCTCCAAGTCAGAAATCCGTAGGCGTTCACCCTTAATTGATCCTTCTGTCTGAGTAGCGTAATCAACTGTAGGTTGATTCGCCAGAACTACTATATTAAGTGTAGGGGTCGACTACTGACCACAAGCAAGTCCTGTTCTATATAGAATCTTCGGTAACTCGCCTTCTTCCCCCAGTCGAGATAAAAAATCTTCCAGGAACCTTTCGTTGATAGGGCATGTGAGATAGTGTAGTCTACAGATGCAATATCCAACGTGAACATCTCCCAAGTGGGTCTCTTGCTGTCCTCAGAAACTGTAGTAGATTATAAATGCTTTCGACGGGAAACCGTTGGCTGACTGAATTAGGTCTCCATTTGTCAAGCATTCATCTTCTATCGTTAAATGCTTCTGCTCAGTGTGTCAAAACACGACCGGAATATTCGAAAATCCATTCACCCTGAATTGGTACTGCAAATGTGACACAGCCTCAAGCTTCGGGAAGACGCGATGACTGACTTCCCTCAGAGTTGTCCCCTCGACCAGTCTTCCACAAACTATAGGTGGTAATAGCTGCCAGCAAGGGGGGAATGAGTTGTCTATGGTTGGTATGACTTTAATGCAATTGTCTTCGAAATTGGCCTTGAGATCGAACCTTTTTCTTTTGTAGGGTGATAGACATGACGGCAAAATTAGGTTCACTACGATCAACTCTTTCAAATTGAGTCATCTTTATCTTCCCTTCTTTCAGGGGCGAAATGCATGGGGCAGTTGTTTCGCCTGTACTTTTGCGAGAGGCCCAGTCTCTCCATACGTCGGCGTCTCTTCTCCATCCGCTTCTGTCGACAACCTCCCGTCTTCCACTTGAGTTTATGGCATCAATGAAAACTATAGTGGTGGCAGCTTCTAAATGCTATGCAGGCCGTGCTGTAGACTAGCGACCATTGCTGTGCCCTTCCCATTTGCGAAGAGCGGATCACAAGCAATGCAGCAATGTTACATCAACGCCATTTTCGGACTTTTCAGTGTCTGAACAGTGGTTGCAGTCCTTCTGAGTTAGGAACATTTAGCTATCAGAAAGCTTCTGTGGCATCACATTGGCATGCTGCATGAAGTATTTTTGGGCTGTAACAGTTTCACCATAACTAGCGACAGGCTTGCAAACCCCTTATTTTTGCAGTAGGAGTCGAGTTGGTGAATTGCTCTTGAAACAGCGAAATGGAAACTATCGTCTACTGGGGAGTGATGCAGTGGCCTCCTACACGGTTTTCCTTGACAGTCATTTTTCTGCAAAAGGCAAAGGGTATTACTATGGAAAAAGATGACAGCTATGATCTAAAGAAGAGATGGTATTGCCATTTAAATAACGAAACAGGGAAACCGGAGTTTAAATAACCCACTTTTCTCAAAAGCAGCCTGGAAAATTCAATAAAAACTAACTCAAAGAGGAATAACTGCGGCTGAAGTTTATCTGTACAGTTTTGTGGTGCATAGCACAGAGAAATCGTTATTTAGAAAAGACCACGAAAAACTTCAGTCTCATTATGAAGTTCGCATTGAAGTTTATTCTGTTAAATCTGCAGAAAATCCCGCCGCAGCCGTTAATTCAAATTGACTGGCAATATTTTTAACAATAAAGATGAAAAAGTTCAGTTGTTACTTTTTTCACTTTTTATATAATAATCTGCTTCATTCCGAAAACGCACTCATTGTTAAGCATGGAATTCTCAGCATTTGCCACAGTGAAGTGAGTAAAGGACTGATTCGTAAAAGTGTTAGAAAAGGTCAGGCGAAGAGAAGAGCACTACATGCAGCGTCCTCAAGCATCAGAAACATTATCGTTTGTGGATAGACCAGGAGACTCGCAGATTACTTAGGCGTAAACTCAATTACAGGAACATATTTATCACCCTCAAGTCTTCAGAGGCCGTTAAGCGCTAAAGTTCCACTGGAAACAAGCTATTCTAGGAATTCGCCAATCACAAATGAAATCGGAAATGCAACTGTCCAAGAAGGTTGTGGTGTAACCCGAGAAACTGTTGTTTCACATTAGTTTCAGGAAAAAGACGTTCCAAGTAGTCCTCGGCCTCAGAGGGGAACTATGCAGGAAGATCAGACAAAAGCTGAAGCAGTAGCAGATTACTTCTTCAGAGTCTTTACACAGGAATCGCCATAGTGATAGAGCGAGCTTCGATAGTGTCACAGAAAACAAGGTAGACTACCTCGACAGCAATACAAACACCGTATTGTAATCTCTAGGCAAATCATATACAGCAAGATCACGATGGCATGATGAACGTCACCCAAAGCTTCTCAATAAGCTTATGACTCATGTAACCGGCCAATTTATTATAATATTCACAATATTCCCAGGCACATCTAGTGTTACCGAGTGAGTAGAAGCATGAGATAGTAACCTTCATACATAAGAAAGAATCCTGACATTCTTCCAAACTCCTACAACTAGTTCTTATCAGGAACTCGATGAATGAACTGGAAAAGTAGCCAGGAATTCTGTCGTGCTATTTTGGAAAGTGACAACGTATTCTACACACACCATGGTTCTGGAGAAGCTACACCCGTTTGACAAATCTCACATCAAGGGAAAGATGGGTGGAGTGCAGGGATAGAGAGAAACATGTCGACTTCGCTTTCGACAACGTGCATCACATGATACCCGTGAGAGTGAAAAGTTCTGGAATTGAGGACCACTGCTCAAGTGGACCACTCAATTCCTCACAGTTCTGAGGCTGAGTCAGGACCGAAACGGATATCCATTACCGGACAACAGTACGTAGTGGCGAACTACAAGCTACTGCATTCGGCCCTATCTTATTTTTTGTATAAGTGAAATAACTGGGTTCGTTGTATTTCCTTGAATGCGTGGAAGATCGAAAATCCCATCAACCTTAGGAACCTCGCGACCGAGACTCGCATTTGAGACTCAAGTGTCTGCACATATTAAACAAACTGATTACCACCCCCTTCAGTTCAGATCAACATTGATCTAGGTGTCATGGGAAGTCGGTACCGAGAGCTGACTTACGCCGTTGTGCAGAGGCATCTCGAACTCTCATATCCACTTGGTTATTACGTAGAGGCTTTGTTAGAATAAGCAGCGGAATGTTCACAGCCCTAAATGCTTTCTGGTGAGGTAACAGAAAGAAAACTGCATATAGACTACTAGCTCTTGTCTAATGGGAGCAATGTGTTACAGAAAGTCAGCATCTTCTCTCCTTCTCGTAGAGTGGACGGAGATTTCATCCCAATATTCAGAATTCTAAGGAAATACTAGAGACATAATCTATCTCCCCTTTTCCTTCCGAGCAGGTTGGAACGTCCCAGAGAACATATCAGGGGAGTTCAGGGGCCAAGTTAAGCTACACAGGTTTGGAGTACCAGCTCGACTACTAAGCCGTAAACTTTAGGAAGACTCAGAAGAGGTAGACTCTTTCAAAGAGGGTTAAGAAAACGAAAGATGCTGACGGTTATGTGAAACACACTGTATCCAAATACAGGTGTTTATCCTCCAACTCCTAAGATACCTGTTTGACTTAGACCAAAGAAGAGTCCAGTCAGCAAATCTATCATCTAAGATGCGATCTCTGTTTCGACATGAGAAATGTCAGTTGATGACTGATTAATTAGCTAGGGTGTGTGCACAAATGACCAAATTTAATGTGATAGTGTGTTAGATGGGATGAGTACCTTCAGTTTAACAACTTGACTTAAACAGTGAAGGTTAGTACTCAATACTGGATGAACAGTGTCGAAGGCGAATTATCTTGGTGATTTCTTTACCACCATGAGAAGTGAAACGGGCACAGATATTCATTAAAAAAGGATTAACATAGGCTTACACTGTTTTATCCTCATTCATAAAGCAAACTAATTAAGAATGCCTCCAAAAATAGTGGCCAATCACAGTGAGGATTTTATGCACACATTTTCCCGGCGCCAGTTACAACTTCATTACCCGCAGTGGCAAGTTATGGTTGGTTTTCGTATCGAGTTTGCAGGTTTTACTTAGAAATTCGGTAAAACAATTGTTCTCGGTCATCTTGTCTTATAGTATTTATGTCATACCTGAAGATATTTAGGGTCTCGGGTTAGCTTGGCCCAGCTAAATATCTTCGAAGAATCACCCATATGAGAATGCTTTTAGGCAGGCGGCTAATTTTAGAGGTTTTTGGACTTTGGAAAAAACGTTGCGTTTTCCCCAGAGTTTCATACTGCATTGCACCCGAAAAGCAGTGTATTCCTCTGAAATTTTTCATTTGCATTAATTTGTTCACCGAGTCGTAGTTTCGTGTATTATCTGGATGCTTCAAACTTTCCTCACTGCTGTGACTCGATATGTGAACGAATATTTTGCTTTTGTCATATAACAGCAAAAAGGTTGATGCGTAAGCATCACAAACGTATCAATCCACAACTTTGAACAAAGTACATAACTTTTGATGTATAAGAAAGGTACTGAGTTTACAACAGTTGCAGTAAGCTATATAATGTGTAGTTCATAACCTTACACTTAAAAAATAACGTGAATATGGGAGGGGAAATAGTTCAACTAAGAGAAGCGAAATTTTTCATGCTGAGATTCCCTCAATAACACACCAACGCACTTTCTAAAATGAATTAGCCAGATTATTCACTCATCATTACTTCTTATCCTTATGTAAGATGTTCTCCCAAACCAGTACTGTCATCTTGCGTCTAATATGGGTGAAGTGTGCTTCCAACGTACTCCAGTTCTTGGTTATGGGTCTGAGAAGTTTCCGTATTTTCTCAGTAAAATAATAACTAAATGGACTGGTACCTCATAGCTATTAAATAAGTGAGTTGAAATCAACTATGTTGACACAATCATATAAGATAAAGATACACTGAGCATCCCTATGACAAAGCAGCGTTTTACTATACCATACCACTATTCTATAATCTCAGTTATCATGTCCTACTGCTATGACTTATTACAGGCTATCGTAACTCTGACCAGAGTTAAAAGACTGATTTGTTTGTCCCTTTCAAGTTGATGTTCAGAGTTCATCAGCATCAGTTTCCTTGCATCATTCACTTAGAATGAAACCATAGGAATATGGTAACTTATCTGTCTTTGATCCTAAATGACGAATTATCTTCACTGATGTTTATACGACAAACTTCAAAACGAACATGACTATCATACTCAGGTTAATGTTTACTCATTTCCTCTCTATGTACAAACTTTCATGTGCAAGTTTGACGCAGTCATGCATACGATACCTCTTGTCCTTTTACTGGCTTGCAGGCACACACGAAATGTACATTCCATTCTTACTGATAACTATGTGTAATATTTTGGTAGTATACTTGTAGTTACTTTCCCCTCAATAAACGAGCACCTGTTACTCGTTTATCACTTTTGGCCTAAATTAATGTCGTATATACTCAAAAACAAACTATGCAACAGTTGGGCGCTATTCATTCTGAGTGTGGCAACCCTATTTTACATTTAAAGACCAGTACATACGATATGGTTTCAGTAGTGTACTTTAATTATCTCAATTGTTGATGAAGTAGTTATTGTTTTGACTATTCAACTACTTTTATCCTTTATTTCATTATCTTTATTTTGTTGTTTCCTGCGTATAGTGATATGAAGAGATTCACTGACTTATTTATTTGTTTGTTCGTCTTAACCTGCTGTTGATTACTGACCGATAAGAAAAATGTTTTCCGTTGTAAGTGACTAAGTTCTACAGTGTAGGAATAGGTGTATGGAAACGCATCTTGAATTATTTTTTAAAGTTACGTATTGAAATTTTTCCTCGGGTTTATTTCAACCTTTTTTAAATGCTTATATGTTTATGTGTCCTACTTTGTAGGTTAAATGGCTGGCGTGTTACCGGAGACTGAACGATTGCAAGCAGAGGAATACAAAAACCAAGGGAATGCGTGCTATAAACAAGGATTGTATGATGAGGCCATTGCATGGTACTCAAAGGGTATAAATGTGGACAGTAACAATGCACTCCTGTACAACAATCGTTCAGCAGCATATCTCATGATAAATAAACCTCTGGATGCTTATAAAGATGCTTGCAGGTTTTCATTTTGACATTTGGATATACTGTAACTCTAATAGAAGTATTAATTTAGATTCTCAAAATGTAAAATCTCTGCTGCGCTGTGTAAAGTGCTGTATTACACTGGGTGATTTAAATGAAGCCAAACGTCTTTGTACAATGATCAAACAGTTGGAACCAGCTAATACTGAACTATCATCATTGGTAATTAAGCTTTGACTATTTACTAATGGAATACATAGCTTGAGAAGATTGAGCTACTATCAGAAACATATAGATCGTTTGAAAGCAAATTCTCCTCATCTGATTTCAGACACGTATGTATTTTTCCATGGTATTGAAAATATTTTGTAATAGGCCCTTTACTTAATCACAAAATGTATTGAAATATCCCCAGCTTCATTGGATTTTAATTTACAAAAGATCAACGTGCTTATCCAACTGAAACGATTTCCAGAAGCCAAAAGTTTGGTTGAGTAGGTTTACTTAATGTTATTAATGTTCTTTTTTCACTTTAGGAACCTTCTCCATTCTCATGATACGTCAGTTGACCTACTTTACTATCGAGGTTTATGTCTGTATTATTTGGACCATTTAGATAAAGCAATTAGTCATTTTCAGCATGTACTGCGACTTCATCCAGATCATATAGAAACACAGAAAGTGTACAAACGTGCTAAAAATCTTATGAAACTGAAAGAAGAAGGCAATACATTTATCCATGATAACAGATATTCAAAAGCGTTTGAAGCCTATTCCAAAGCATTAGAAATAGATCCATCACACGATATGATAAATGCCAAGTTGTATTGTAACCGAGCGTGTGCTTTATTCTATGTAAGTGTGTATTATATATGCTTTAATTTAAATGCAGCTTGATCGCTTTGAGGAAGCCCTAAAGGATTGTGATGCAGCAGTTTCTTTGGACCCAAACTATGTGAAGGCTCGTATTCGTCGGGCTAAGTGGTAATTTTTGATTGTGTTTTCATAATTTTCCATTAAGAGTTTTTTGTAACGGAATTATTCTTGCATATGCTAGTCATTACACTGTAATTTCCGATCAACTAGTTTGGATTCAGATCTCTTTTACTTTATCGTGTTTCACTTTAATACCCCTAACTGAAGTAGTGGCATGCTAACAACGTCTTGTGTTTATTGAATCAAAATTTCCACATACTTCTACACGAACTGCATCTATTATATCACTGTTATGGGCACTAAGAGATGCGCCACCCAAAATCGCATAGTTTGTGCGAATGCTGGGATACTGCCTGGGCACGCACACCAAAGCAGATTGTTTTCTTAAGGGACTGCCCGAAGCTTATAGCTTGGAGCCTGGTCTACAAGGCGTCAGAAGCTACGTTGCCATGATGGCCAGTGACTAGGACAAGTTCACACGCCATTCGATCCTTTCGGATCCTGGAGCCCATGTACACATACCATAGGTTTGGAATCAGTTTTCCGGCTCCCCTAAGTAGACCTGTGTGTCTACCAGTTCGACTGTAAGTACCAGACGTTCGCACTCGCCTTTTCAACTTTGTGAGGAACACCATCCGCATGAAACCAGTGGATAGAACCTACCTGGTGGAGGATATGAACGTGTGGCCGCATGAAAGCATTTTAAGAGGAAGTACGAAGTGTACCCACCCTCAGCCGTATCAGGTCGTTTATGGGGCCCATCTATTGTATGCTGATATCTCTCAACTGTCATCTTATAAAATTGTATATAACATTTTGAAAATACATATTTTGAAGAATGTTATTTCCGTCTGAACATGCTAGGTTGCATTTAAATGTCATTGCTTTTCTCCTCTGTTTGAAAATGAGTATATTTTCAGAGTATCTATAATATTACTTTATGCTTTTGTCTTTGTTGTTGGTCCCTATTAGGCATTTGAATTTGCCCCACTCCTGTTTTGATCCTAGTTTTTTAAGTCGTCACCTTGTATTTTCTCATCTATTTGGACCCTGTGTCTTGTCCGAGAAGTAATTTGAACCCGTAGCTCGAGACTTTATCAGACATAATCAAGAAACGTAATCAGTAGCGGACAGGCCGCAGTTTCCTTCCCTCACTCTTTGGATGTAACATAAAGTAGTGAACCATCCTTTAAATACTGTTGTTAAGCATGCTAACTTGCTTCTTGGATGTCGCTCTTAGTTGACTCCATTCCCGCTCTTCTTAAATCATGGTTATATTGCTTTTTCGGCGCATCCCTAGATGCTCATACTGTATCAAGTGTGTATTTTAAGTCAAATAAAGTGAAATTTATATAATAGATGAATAAGCCTGCTATTATAGTCCCTAACTGCTGACTAGTGTCTACTGCTAATCAAATACAGGTTACTTTTTAATCTTTTAGCCATGTGTTCTAAATTCAAGAAATACTACTTGACTTTCTTAAAACTGAATTAACTGCATTCGGTTTTATTCACCTAGTTCCTCGCATTCTTCACATTTATGTTTAATCTTGAGTGAGTGAAAGTGGAACACACCATCCATAAACTATTTTATCTAGACAGTATTCGTATCGTGCATTCTCGGAAAGGTGACTGATGATATACCTAAATTTTCCAATCATGATTTAAGCCCAAAATATCATTTTTGAGTAATAGAAGTCTTTCTATCCCTTTCCCTTATTGTATTGATTGTTGGTAACAGTGTTTCGTGCTACATTTTATTTTTGTAGTAATCTCATTCCTAGCGTTGATTACCTTTAAAGTGATAATATTTAACGAATGTTTATTGTCTTCAAATCTAGCTATTCATCTCTTGATGAATATGAAAAAGCCATTGAAGAGTGGACTGCAGTGGTAAAATTGGATGGATCACCAGAGAATAAGAAGTCGTTACAAGCTGCTAAAGCCGCCCTGTCCAGATCTCAACAGCGTGACTATTATAAGATCCTTGGTTTAAAAAAGAATGCGTCTTTTGATGAGATAAAGCAGGCGTACAAAAAGAGTGCTCTTCTATATCACCCAGGTATGACTTTTTCATTTAACAACGTAAATTTCTATCGTAATCCTTAGTATCACATTGTTTAATGTTTGCAAGTTCTCTCCTCTTTTATTGGTTAATTTTACTTAAAACTAGATAGGAGTTTGCGATACCGTCATAATAAATATCATTTGAAGCAGAGTTTTATTCACTGTTTCTTACTTCAGTTATCAGTAGTGTCTGAAGTAGGAGGACGATAATCATCTGCCGATTATAATTTAAGTATTCATGTTCTTCGCTGTTTACTAATGACACTAGACCATCCGTGTTGTGAAACTTAACACAAACGAGGGATTAAGTTCCATGAATAATTTTGGAGTGAATTCCCATAGTTAAAACACATAATTCATAATGTTTGCAGCTAGTATGTTATATCACTTTAATATTCTTCACCAGAACCACCCTGTTATTTTGTTTGCAGATAGAAATAAATACTCTAAGCTTCGTTTTCGACTTAGTTTCTTATCTCTATGTTAAAACTCCTTTCTAATTCACAGGGAAGGGGGTGTAGATGTTTCCAGGCTGTATAAAACTAATTGACTGACTAAATGGTTTCAACGTAGAACTTTGCACCGATATGCAGCAGTTCGAGTTGCCACACTTCACTTAGCACACAAAGCATGAGAAGAAAGTAAAACCAAATGCAAAACAGAGATATGATGCGAAAAGAATAGTAATATCGAAGAACAATATAGTTTTATTGGATATTATAAGTCACAAGGAGTGGATGCATCTGCGCTGTCATTGAGAACGATTTTCAGCCATACATCTCATTGGTTTTCACCATCCCGAGGACCCCAACCAGGAAGTCTACACCTTCCTACATGGCTTAAACTAACTGTTGTGGATTTCATTGACTGACGAAGCCATGTTTTGGTTTGACCACCACTAGCTTTCTCTTTTCCAACCTGATCCATCCTATGTCAGATAACATTGCCCGTCGAGGAAGGCGATGTCTAGGCATACGTAACACATGTCCTAACCATCTCAATCGATGTAGTTTCACAGCCTCGTCTATTGATTTCCCCTCCTTACCTAGCACTCAACGCCTAACCAACTCAATATTACTCAGCCTATTATACCACCTAACACAGGAGATAGAATGCAGACACCTATGATCAAACACAGGTAGTCTTTTCATGTCTCCCACTTTCAACGGCCAGGTCTCACAGCTAGCCATAAAGGAGGACGGAGTGGACTGCTGAGCAGTACACATGCCCTTTGGTCGATAGCCAGCCGGCTATCACGTCTACGCCAGAGATGGCGTAAACCATCATATGTGAAACGAGCCTTCTGTATTCGTGCCGAGATTTCGTCAGCGATCAACCCGTTGAGGCTGATGCAACTTCCCAAATAACTGAAGTGGTCAACGCGCTCTATCACTTCACTCTTGTCTATCTTTAAGCTAGGCGTCAATGTAGTCCAGTCCTGTAGCATCATCTTACATTTGGTGGGAGCGAATCGCATGCCAAACATTCGAAGATTCCAGCTCAAGGTGTTCAGAAGACTCTGCACTTTGTCAGTGTCTTCACCTAGTAGGTAGGACTATATCATCTGCATATTCTAAGTCAACGAGATTATTCCCTGGTAACAAGTCAATCCCTGAGTAGCTGACGTTAGTTAGAGTTAAGTCCATTAGTACATCTATGATGAAGTTTAATGGAAATGGGGACAGTGGGCATCCCTGATGGACACCACTAGTCGTCACCACTTCAGATGACAGCTCGCCGTAAGCTCTTACCTGGCTGATTGCATGAGTTCGAGTAGAGTGTCTTGATCAGTGCAATGTATTTTGTCAGCATTCGCTTCCTAGCCAAACACCGCCATAGTACCCCTCGGTCGATGGAATCGAATGCCTCTTTCTTGTCAAGAAATATGACTTCTGTTGGACGCCGGTAAGTATGCCTATATTCCAGAATCTGTCGAAGAGTTAAGATATGATCAATACACCCTCTTACTGGTCTAAAGTCTGCCTGGTTCTCTCGTGTTTGTTCCTCTCGAGCACCACTTAGTTTACGCATGATTATTAAGCCTAGAACTTTAAATAACCATATTAGTCAAGCTCATCCCCTTGTGATTATCACAGAAAGACTTGTCTCCCTTCTTGTATTTCGGTATAATCAATGACTTACACTAACCCGACAGGACTTCCTCTGATTCCCAGACGCTGCCTAAGACCTTAGTTAACGCAGACAGTAAACTGTCTTCACCGTCCTTAAACACCTCTGGAGTCATTCCATCAGGTCCTACTGCTTTGCCTCGTTTCAGACTAGTGGCAGCTTTTGTAACCTCATTCACGGACGGAGGACCTGTGTCTATATCCCACTCAGGAAGGTATTGGATGCTGGGTAAGTTGAGTGTGACTGTAGGCCAATTAAATTGCTCCTCAAAGTGTTCTTCCCAACGTTCCAGTCGTATATCCTGGGAGCTAATTATGGGGCCACTTTTCTCAGAGATTGTTTCACTTATCATTTGCCTTTTACCACCTGTTTCCATGATAAGCCTAAATAGCTGTTTAGTGTTACCAATCGCCGATGCCTTTTCCATCTCTTTTGCTTTTGTCGCCCACCACTGTTCATGGTCGTTACGAAGGCTTCTTGTTAGTTTACGTTTGAGTAGCTTTCGCTCCTCATCATAATTGGAGCTCGCCGGGATCAGTCTTCTTGCGTCAATCAGTTCGGATAAGGTGGTAGAAATCCAATGGCTCTTACTAACTTTAGGCTTCAGGTTATTAACAGCTTTTACAGCTGTGTCTACAGCTAACTGTATGTTGTGCCAATCTACCTCAGGAGGTATCCTGCTATCGACCTCAGCTACTCGTTTCACTATTTCTTCCTTATATAGGGACTCAGAGTCTCGATCTAGTTGGGGACGTGACTGCTTTGCTACCAATAATTCTTTATGTCCGTTTAGACGTAAGCATAAACGTGCGCGAACTAGGGCGTGATCGGAGTCTACGCACGTGTTCCAGAAGGAGCGGCAGTCTTCTACTGACCCTCACCAACGATACCCTATCGCTATGTGGTCTACCTGAGTTCAGCTTTGATTTGGTGATGGAGGTCGCCAGGTTACGCAGTGTCTCTCTTTGTGCCTAAAGTTAGTGCTACAGATGATTATCTGAGCAGAACTGTAGAAGACGATCACCGTTGTCGGTTCGTCAGCAAGGAACTTCATACGTACCACCTAAATACTTCTCAGTCTAGATTCCCTACTTAGCCATTGAAGTCGCCTGCTAAAACAACTATGTCTGAACGTTTTGCCTTTTGCAGCAAATTAGACAGTTTCAGGTAGAAGTCATTCTTTAGTTCATCCGAACTGCAGTCTGTTGGGGCGTAGGCGGAGACTATGACAAGACAACAATAGGTAACGCCGCCCTTCCTTCTTCTGACGGATCGCACACATACGATTATCTCCTGGGATCCAGTCAAGAAGGGATTTTCCTGCCCTAACACTCAATGCTATCCCTACACCTGCGAGTCCTCGCGAACTAGCTGAGGAGTCTTCTGACACCATTAAAGTAAACTTTGCAGATTCACCTTGTTGCCCGGCTGGGATTAAGTGAAAGACCACACTCGGGTCTTGTATGCGTGTTTCCGAGACACAACACATCCATGACTCGAGATGCCAGAGTTCTTGCTAGTGATGCCTGTTGTCCGATTTGACAGAGGGTACTGACGTACTATGTGAAGTTGACGACGTGGCTTTAAGAGGCTATCAGGGGTGTTTCTATGTATCTCATCGTTGTTTGTGGTCACAGAGGGAAGGGAAGATGACTCACTAAGGTGCAGAATAGTACTGATTGTAGTAGGGAAGTAAGATGATGAGGCTGATGTGGGTAAAGGAGAATGATGCCCAGGAAGGTTTCGTGTGCTTTTTGAAGTGTGTGGGCGGTTGTTGCTTCCAGGCTGGCTACACCGTGGAAGTTGATTGATTCTTTGGGTACCTGAAACAGAAAGAGGGTTAGTGTTGCGTGACTGCAGAGCCGAGAGGGCAACTGCTTGAGGCCAGTCACAAACGGCCTGTATAAACTGGTTTCTTGGATTGGTTCCGTATTAGTAAACTTACCGCCGGTTACGGACCACCGTACAATTTTTGGGGTCGACCTTTTATAACCCTCTCTCTCCAGAGTGGAGAGACAGCATAGCTGACATGCTGGTCATCTGAGGGAAACACCTTACTGCTGTAATATCCCTATTCCCCAGTAGTACGACTTCTCCCACAGACCCCCAGCATAGTGTAAAAATTCTTACACTAAGCCAGTAACTGCTTTTAGTCTAATCGCTATCCTAACAGTCTTCCTGGCATGGTAGGACCTTCAAGGAAGATTAGTTCCAGCCAGTGTAGCTTGTTGGGTCATTGCGATGTGCAAGCCTGACCACTACGTCAAGGTAGCAGCCATCGGTCGGGTATAGAATTTAAGAATATCTGTTATCCGATTCACCATTAATTGATGTCTAACAATCTCGTCCATGGGGGAGAACTAACATTACTGGTATTCATTCAAACTTCAAAGTTGCTGATATGGTTTACAGTACTGTTATTCCCTTAGGTCCCTAGTAGGACATAAAGCTTCAACGGAGGCACATCTCTATTTCATCCTGTTCTATGTGGTCCTTTGTAACTGGTTCCATGGTTGTCTATAAGCTCTCACCTCCCCCTCATGCTATCTCCGTGTCACCCCCAGAAGCTCAGCTCGTCGTTCCCCATTTGGGTTACACTCAAGCGATGGCTTGCCACGCAATATCACTCAACGATCTCACCAGCTATTCGATCTTCAGTATCAAGCGAAGTCTACAATGTATTGGGAATGCCTTTCGTAGCACGTGTACCAAGTCTCTCAAACATTTAAAAGAACTGACTTGACATTAGTGTTGAAAATCTGAATCTAGTACTTTATTTGATGCAGCAATTTCCACACTGAACATAAAGGTTTGTCTTACCTTTCCGATTCTGTTTTCGACATCCTGATCTGTGCCTCCTGTAGTTGAAATGATGCTTCTTAGGTAAGCGGAAGTATTAACTTCCTTGAAATTTTTCCCGATGATGGTGATTGGTGCTTGTTCTTGTTGGTTAGGTGTCTGTCTTCTCCAAATGCACTTGAAGTGCTTTCTTCTCTGCCAACTTGTTGGTTTTCGCTTGCAACTCTTCGAGTCTTTATGACATTAGACATATATCTTCTTCGGAGCTCAGGTCTTCTGGAGTCTTCTTACCATTCCAATGTATGTCTGTCTTCTCACTCTCCATGGTGTGTTGCGTAATCCAATCCACCGTAGTCATGAATATCATCGGTGACAGTAAGCATCCTTGCCTTACTCCTGTCTTCACTTCAAAGGTATCGCTGAGTTTTCCGTTGTGAATCACTTGACATGTGGCATCATCATATAGGTGCTGAATAAGATTTATAAATGCCTGTGTCATTTATGAAAAGAAATTTTTCCCAACTGCATGAAAAATGCTGCTCAATAACTGCGTACAGTCATTTAATTTTTTTCTAGTGACAATAATAGTAATCAAAGCTTTCATCTTTGTGGTTCACCCTTAAAACAAGTGGTGTCCATCTGAGATGCCCACTGTCCCCATTTCCATTAAACTTCATCATAGATGTACTAATGGGATTAACCTTAACTGACTTCAGCGACCCAGGGATTGACTTGTTACCAGGGAATAATCTCGTTGACTGAGAATATGCAGATGATATAGTCCTACCTCCTAGGTGAAGACACTGACAAAGTGCAGAGTCTTCTGAACACCTTGAGCTGGAATCTTCGAATGTTAGGCATGTGATTCGCTCCCACCAAATGTAAGATGATGCTACAGGACTGGACTACATTGACGCCTAGCTTAAAGATAGACAAGAGTGAAGTGATAGAGCGCGTTGACCACTTCAGTTATTTGGGAAGTTGCATCAGCCCCAACGGGTTGATCGCTGACGAAATCTCGGCACGGATACAGAAGGCTCGTTTCACATATGACAGTTTATGCCGTCTCTGGCGTAGACGTGATAGCCGGCTGGCTATCGACCAAAGGGCGTGTGTACTGCTCAGCAGTCCACTCCATCCTCCTTTATGGCTAGCTGTGAGACCTCGACGGGCGATTTTAGCTGATATAAGATCAGGTTGGAAAAGAACAAGTGGTGGTCAAACCGAAACATGGCTTCGTCAGTCAGTGAAATCCACACCAGTTAGTTTAAGCCATGTAGGAAGGTGTAGACTTCCTGGTTGGGGTCCTCGGGATGGTGAAAACCAATGGCTGGAGACAATTGGTGATATGGCTCAAAATCGTTCTCAATGACAGCACAGATGCATCCACTCCTTGTGACTTATGATTTCCAATGAAACTATATTGTTCTTCGATATTACTATTCTTTTCGCATCATGTCTCTGTTTTGCATTTGGTTTTACTTTCTTCTCTTGCTTTGTGTGCTCAGTGAAGTGTGGCAACTCGAACTGTTGCACATCAGTGTAAAGTTCTACGTTGAACGTAAGGGTGTCCGTTCAAACACGTAATAATGAAAATTTATTGGGGACCCTAAACAACTGTTTTGGTGTTATTATTTTGCCTACTCAACAGTAATTCTCACCAGCAGCAGTAGTCAAGAATCTCTGGGACATTGAGTACTTTTGCATGTAGTTACATTTTCAACTACGACTTATACATACGTTATTTGGTTCATTTGTTTGGTTTCAGTATGATTACTAACTTGCTAATAATATATATATATATATATAATGTTTAGGCAGTAACTTTCACTGAAAGTACTGATGTTTTAAACAAAATTAGTGTCACTGCATTACAGTACAAAAGCATATGTAATTGATAAGTATGCATAGAAATATAATACTGAATTGAATATAAGATAAAGTTAAGAAGAAAATCAGTACAACAATTAAAGGTAGTTGAAACAATGACAGCCTTATAAGAGGCTTAGGGGAAGAAAAAAATCGTCAGACCTTTACAATGAAGTAATGATGACAAAGGTAAGGAAAGCGTTCCTACGAACTTCTTCTGAACACATATTTGTCTTTTGATGGCTTTATCTATATGTAGAAGACGAAATTTTAAGGTATAATTATAATAATGACTTCACTTTGATGTTATCTGAAATTCTGAGCATAAATTCATTGTTATGCATAAATATGGAGTTTATTTCATTTCCCTAGTGTTCTTGTAACATTCAGATACAGACTAATGGCAGTTCGATTCACATATCTGTAATCTATTTGTGGCTTTTGTTAATCCGTTACTTTAGGAGGTTAGTGATGCTGTCAAGGGCATTATTCTTATCGAAAGCCAAAGCTGTTTAGCTCTGTCTGCGATGTTTAACAATTTTTTATGTGACTTTTCTGTTTCTCATGTTGAGTCCCTGCTTTTCATCACGTGCATCTCTTAAAATTGTTAAGCTATCGGTATTTGGACATCGTCATATGGTTGTAGCCATAGTGGAGTTCTTTTTGGGTTAATAAATTCATCCAACGGTATTAATTTTGACTTAGTTTTAACACTGCTCTATGTGTTGTTGAAAGATAATGTTGCTAGTTGAAATTACTGCATTTATTTAATAATCCCTTAGGTTCCAAGTGGAACATAGGGATTCAATCTAGGCGCGTCTCCATTTCATCTTGTCCTCCGTAGTCGTTATTATCTGGTTCCACAATTGCCTGTAAGATCTCATCTTCTCCTCACATGATCTCCTCCATATCATCTTCAGACCTATGTCCAACTCTGTGCTTCCCATTCCGGCTCCACTTGGGGGCTTGGCGCGTCATGTTACTCAATCGTCTCCTCAGTCTGTTACCAATTATTATTATCATTATTGTTCCCTTGGGTTCCTAGTGGAACATAGAGCTTCAACTGCAGGCCTCCACTTGCCTCTGTCTTCTGCTGTACTTTTCACCTGCATCCATGTTAATCCATTCTGTTTCAACTCCTCTTCACACGATCTCCTCCATGTCACCCTTGCACCGACGAACCACTCGCCGCTTCCCTTTCGGGTTCCACTCGAGGACCTGACGCGCGATGCCACCCAGTGGCCTCCTCAGCGAGTGTCCAATCCATCTCCACTTTCTCCTGCATATTTGTTGGGCGATTGGTTCCTGATTTGTTTGTTCCCATAGTTTCTTTTTAGTGATTCTTTCCGGCCATCTGATCTTCAGTATAGAACGAAGACAGCTGTTGATAAAGGTCTGCAACAGGCTGTTGGAAATATTCTTTGTGACCCGCCAAGTTTCTGATCCGTATAGAAGAAGTGACCTGATTGACGTTTGTATTGAAAATCCGAATTTCGTTGTTGATGCTGAGTGACGAAGATTTCCAGATTGGTTTCAGGTTGATGAATGTGTTTCTCGCCTTCCTGACTCTCGATTTGACATCCTCGTCCGTTCCTCCTGTAGTTGAGATAATGCTATCTAGATAAGTGAATGAGGTAACCTCTTTCAAATCCCTCCCGTTGATGGTGGTTGACGCTGGATGTTGCTGCTGCTGTTGTTGTAGTTGGTTGGTGTTACCAATACATCTTCATTTTCCTAGGCATATTTGTCTAGCAGTGGGTTCTTGGTTGGCTCGTTGCCATAGTTCCCTGTTGCTAATCCTTTCTCACTGGCCATCTTATCTTCAGTATAATAGAGCCAGCGATGGTAGATGTTGACAAAAGTCTGCAATAGGGTGTTTTATGAAATGCTTTTTGTAATACGCTCACCAAATCTCTGAGTCTTATAGAAGCACTGATTTGACATTAGTGTTGAACACCTGAATCTAGTTCTTTATGCTGAGTGTAGCAGATTTCCACGCTGAAATTATCTCCAATAAAATCTGTTTTGTACCATGGTTCATATAATAATATGTGAAGTGTTAAACTATGTTAACTTCTTATGCATTATTGTATTAGCATTCCTGTAATAAGGTCTTACTCTCACTTGTTTACATCTCTCTTTATATATGTGATAGAGATGTCATTACAGTTGACCTGTATTAGTATTTTATTTTGTCTAAATTAAGATGATGAGAAAAGAATTCAGAATTGATTATTGCTCACATTTGTGATGATAATTAATCGCATTATTTTGCTTCTTGTCTCATGTGATGCATCTGTTGATAAATTTACTGCATATATGACGTTTTATGACAGGTAAAATGATTCACTTAGAGCTATTTCACCTTTTTGTTTTACGTACGAATAACCACCGTTACAGGCATAGTACAAATAAATAACAAGTATGAATTTCATTTAGTGTTTTTTATAGTTTTGTGTAAAATCCGTACAAGACACAGATTAAGCAATTTATAGCTTCAAAATGAATACTTTTTATACATATCAGAAAGTAGTTAGCTTAATAATTTCTCATTTTTTTTACATAATTATAGATCGTCATACCAATGCAGATGAAAATACAGTAAAAGAACATGAACGAAAATTCAAAGAAATCGGCGAAGCCTACACTGTATTATCAGATCCTGAAAAACGCCGTAAATATGATAGTGGTGAACTTTTGGCAGCTGATGGTTTTGATCAAGGTTAGCTTAATTTCTTTATGTGAATAATACCGTTTTTACAATTAAAATTATTTACTACGTTGATAGTTCAGGGGTGTGGAGCGCTTGTCAGCTATGCACATGGTTCGGGTTCGACTCCCGGCCGAAAGACGTACTACTAAGCGTTGTTTAGTTTATTAACTGGTAGTAAACTTGTGAAGTAGGAAATGTTGAGCATGAGGTTGGCGTCGATGGCACAGTGGTTAGGACGCTCGCCGACCATGCACATGGTCCGGGGCTCGATCCCCGGCCGACGCACTCCTTTACCTCGCTAAGCCAGATATAATGCTGATGATGAGGAAAGGTCGGGCATGAGGCTAGCAACCCCATCCTGTAAAATAAACACTGCTACAGAAACTTAAAGCCACAAGCTTGAATCCCTATGTTCCACTGGGGAACGTGAAGGGAAAAAAATGAGGTTGGTAACCTCATCCCGTAAAAATGCTATCAGCCATACTGAAACTTCAAAGTCTCGGGTCTGAAGCCCTATATTCCACCTGAGACGCAAAGGAATTATGTATATATATACATATAATTACAGTTATTTCACTGGTCATCGCTGAATCAGGTCTGTATGAGGTAGTTTTTGGTCTTATTATTAATTTGAATAAAGAAAGAACAGACATATTTGCAAGATAATATGAATTCATTTTATTTCGTGGATTCTCTTCAAATGCTTACCTTTCATATAAATAAACTGTGTTACAAAATTTCTGAACATACTTTTTAAAATGATTTCAAGTTATAGACAGAAAGTATAAGCAACACAGTTTCAAAGATGATTTAAGCAGACGAATTATTCAGTATTAAAAGAGAGTAACTATTTATAAAGTAGTAATTAGACAAAGGGATGAAGTTCTAATTTCACTTGGAAACAAGGATGGACTAGAGATAAAATACAAGATAGAACAAAAGAGTGAATTCAGACGTATTATGACGGAAAGTTCAGGAGGGTGTAGATTTGGAACCTTAATGGTGAGTTCAACTCAGTGAGTGAAAATCAAGATTGAATGGGATGTTATGCAACAAACTGTCTGTCTGTCTGTTTCCGACATAGAACTTTGCACATATGTGCGGCAACAGAAGAAAAAACACAAAGCACACGAACAAAACAGTTATGGTTACCAGGATAGTGAGACATTAGCCACAATCTCTTTCTGTAGATATAGGTTGGGTCGAAATCTTTTGATAGCCATGGCTTCTGCGAACCGAAGTGACCGTGGCTTTCTTTGTGTATTGATTATTTTGAAAGCCTGACTAATTTTTTAAGTGTATGTCTCGTGTCAATTAGGTGTCTGGCAATTGCACTTGAGAGCACTTTGCTTCCTTTCAAACGGAGACTTTTAGCGATATGCGCGGAGAATCTAGTAGACGCTCTCTCCTTTCAGTCCTTCCTATGTACTTGCTGCCGCAAATGCAGGTGACTTGGTAAACGCAGCTGGAGTTGAAATGCTGAGCAAGATACTCATATACTTTTGACTGGGTTAACGAGCATACTGAGTCTGGCTGCGGGAAATGTTTTTTTAATCTTTCTAGCGTACAAAGGCGAAAAAGTATCCATAAGAACGGACAAAAGAATTAAAGGTGCATTAAAAAGATTTGTATAGACAGGTATTGTCATTGACTTACACACAGTAGATGTGACTCGTTGCTGCTAAGTTCATTAACACACAAAAGTTGTTGTCCAGTAATACGTGCATGGACACTAACACTAACTTCACATAGTGATGCTTTGCCCCAGTAAGCCTTCATTTGGGTTCTTTTAGCATAACATATTGATGCAACTGTATCTACCAGTTTAAGAGCATATTTCACATTCATTTCATAACCATTAAAAGTGAAAGACTTAAAAAAGGCTGACTGTCTTTGACCACAGATGTTTACGTTCTATCTTCCGTGTTAAATGGTATAATGTGGTGAGAAATATTCATGTTAGGCTTAGGGAAAGTCAATCGATGAGGTTGTGAAGCTATATCGATTGAGATGGCTAAGATGCGTGTTACGCATGCCTAGTAATGTTAGTTGACATAGGATTAGGTTGGGGAAAAGTTGGTGGTAGTCAAATCAAAAGATGCCATCAATCCTTTGACTGTTGGTTTGGGATGGCTAGGTCACGTGCTGCGCATGCATAACCATCGCCTCCCCCGACGGGCATTACTAGCTGATATAGGTGCAGGTTGGAAAAGAGTAAGTGGTGGCCAAACAAGAACATGGCATTAATCCATGAAATCCTTGACAGTTAAACTGAATCAGGTAGTGAGATGCAGACTTCTGGGTTGGCGCCCTCAAGACTCTAAAAAAATCAATGGCTGGAGACAAAAGGCGACATGGCTCAAAATCGTTGTCAGTGGCTTACGCAGATGTATTCAGTCTCTGTAAACTTTCATATTCCTTTCTACCATTACTCATTCTGTTTCACTCTTATACTTGTCAAAACTCTATTAATTCCCTTCACTCATTTTCTTGTCTACCTTTGTGTGCTATTTGGAACGTGGCAACTCGAACTGCTGCTCTTCGGTGCCAAGTTCTGTGTTGAATCCAGACAGACAGTTGCAAGTTCAACTGTCTGCGATCGCCGTCGTTCTCAGACTGGTCTTTATAATTAGCGCTAATTGAACATATCTAGGAAACTGAGTGTTACTGTGGCGCTTACATTTGAAAGAATAGTCAGTTACATTTTTTATTCACATGACACTTATTGGTTAAAGTATAATTAACACCTGCACAGTATTTGTGTTTTGCATATCATCCGTTATATTATCGATCCGCGGATCTTGTTGTTGTGGTTTGAAATCTCAACTTCAACTTTCGTTTTCCATGGGTAAAATCAGTCTTCCTAAGAGTTTACTCAATAGTAGTCAATGTGTACGTCTTCTAACTCGAATGTTCTGGGTTCGATTCCCAGTAGGCTCATGAATGCGCACTGCTGAAGACTCGTAAACTAGGATGAAACAGCTGTCCAATATCCCCTGGTGTTCACTGAATATTCGATAACCGACATTAGTTCGTGAATTTCCTTGAAACCAACACTTAAATGACATATATTTCTCTAATTGTTCACTAGTGATCACGTCTGTTATAAATATCAGAGCGAGAGAGTACTTTTTGACCTGACGTCATCATCCTTCTAACTTGATGGGAATTATGTTTCTTCTCTGTTACAGTTTATTGTGACTACATTTCTTACACCTATAATTGTTTAAACTGGTTAGATTTCCTTCCGGTTGATTAAAAATATTTTTAGGTTTGTAAAATTCCCACAAAAAGTCTTAATTTCACTCACTGAATGGTGTTCAGTACTCGTATAGATAAAAGTATACTCTCTATTATTTGCGTTTCATTTCTGAAGTTTCTCAACCTAGTGATTGAACCTTATTTCAAATTGACTAGTGAAATGGAATAAGCAACTATTTGGTTTCTAAATCAGTCATTGTCTTAGTTATCAACGTACTATCTTTTTGTTTTGGTGGTTGGTGATGGTAATGGTGGAAATCATGGTTTTGTTTAATAATGTTTACTTCAACGCAAGTACACTATATGGCTGATATCTAGGCTGACTGGGAAGGAAAATGCTTTACTTTTTCATGCAAAAGGCAATGTAACTATAAGTTACAGTCATTTATATTAGCTATTTTACAATAACCAATGATTGGATTGAAGACTTCATCATGAGCTAATATCAGTAAGAGAACCACTGGAAAACCTGGCAGTACTGGACAGCTGTTTCGTCAGCCTAGTTTGGGACTCTTCATCAGTAAGCACCCACCGTCCAGTACTCCCAGCTGGTTTTCCGGTGGTTCTCTAACTGATGTCAGCTCATGATGAAATCCTCCATCCAATCAAACAAAATCCCTACAAAATCAATACTTGAAAATAACCAATGAGTTACTATGATGTTATTTGATGGGTAGTGACTAGCACGTGAAATCAAGATGTGTGCATATCATCCTATTTGGGGCTCATCAACTTGGAAATAGCTGCAGTCCTCGTTGAGTGGTAGTGTTTCCACTGAAACTTAGACCCAGCAGCCATCATTTCAGACTCCAATAAGTTGCTAGTTTACGATATAAAGTCTATGTCCTGATCAGTTAGCGCGTGGTACTAAAGATCCACTGGCTTGACTTAATCTCTGTTAAAGTGAATTATCTGTTTTACAAGTCACGTTGGGGAAGGGGGCGGGGGGAAGGAAATAAAATCATAATATGTTACCTCATGTTATAAGACTTTTCAATATGCGAAAGACACTTCTTTATTAGTTAGTGGTTACTGAACGAAGAGTGAATGAAGACCATTCGTCTATTACGTCTGTAAGGTAAGTAGAGGTTTATGGATCAGTTGACGTAATCATACAGTCAACATACAATCTAGGCGCGATTTTTCAGTTTCACATATCTTCTTTCGTCCAGGACATTACAAAAGCTCCTTACAGGTTTGTTAATTACTAGATAGCTAACTGACTAAATTGTCAGTCTATAAGTCAGCAGGAAAATGCAACAATCCAAGTTGATATACACTTCGAAAAAGCACACATAAGTAGAGAAAGGAAATGAATTGAATTAAAACTTCGGACAATGAAGTTATACGGGCAAGAGAATAACTGGACAAAGATTAGTGAAAATATTTAAATTGTGAATGATAACAAGGAGCAAATAAATACATCTATCCCATTGATGCTACTATAAATTTCAAGATGATTGGCACGTTTTGTATCACTACTTGATTTGATATTTTGTGATAAAACACGCATGTACAACGGAGCCACAACCTCTGTTTAATACGAATGACTGGTATTCTGTATTATGCTCATTATTATTCCCTTAAGTTCCGAGTGGAACGTAAGGTTTCAGCAGCACATCTCCATTTCGCTCTGTCCTCTGCAGTCTCTTTTAGCTGACCCTACGATTGTCCATAGGTTTTCATCTCCCCCAGGTCACCCTCACACACACACACACACTTGGTTCTACTTGAGATCCTAGCGCCCGATTTCACTCAACACTCTCCTCAACGTGTGTCTAAGCCGTCTTGATTTTCTTCTGCATATATGTTGGGCCGATAGGTTTTGATTGATCCGCCGTCTGCTAGATTCCCATATTGCTAATTCTTTCTCGTCTGCTATGTGGTCTTCTGTATGGAGCCAGGGCAGTTGTTGATAGAAGTCTGAAGTCTGTTGGAAATGCTTTGGGTGATGCACCGAGTCTTTGAAGCATATAGAAGCATTAATTTGACAAAAATGTTGACGTTCTGGATCTTCTTATTTGTGCTGAGTTCAGCAGACTCCCGCAGTGATTTCACTTTAATGTAGATATGTCTTGCTTTTCTGGTTTTGGGTGGCTGGCTGGTGTTTTATTTATTTTATTTTGATTTACAGCTTGATTCCACACCGTATTTTCAGTACAAGTATGGAACTTTCAGCATGGATATCGGTAGCCCAAATTCAGGCTGACCATAGATATCGGGTGTGCGTCGGCAGGGGATCGAACCTCGGACCATGTGCATGGTCGGCGACAGTCCTAACCACTGTGCCACCGACGCATCTGTATTGCTTGTAGTTGAAACTTTGCTACCTAAATATATAAAATAGGTGATTTCTTTCAAATTCCTCCCGTTGGTAGTGTTTGATGGTTGTTGTTGGTTAGGTGTCCTAATCACCTCTATCTTCTATGTCCACCTGAAGTCTTGTCTTCGTTGATTCTTGTGTTAATGTGTTGGCTTCCTTCTGTTGATATTCGAGTTTGTGTGACATTAGATATAAGTCGTCCGCAAAGTCTAAATGTTTTAGGGTCCTGTCGACTCAACGTATTCCTTTCTTCTCACTCCCCACGGTCTCCTGCTTGATTCAGTCCACCACAATCATGAAGATCAGTGGTGATATTAGGCAGTCTTGTTTCTATCTTTGTCTTCACTACAGAGGTTTTGCCGCGTCTTCCGGTGTGGATCACTTGACATGTGGTATCATTATATTGCTGTTGAATTAGGTTGATTGCCTTTGATGTTTAATAAACTTACCAGATATTAAATTATGTTATACCACACATTGTGTACATGTACCACTGAATTGTCTCCCTTTATACTTGAAGAAAAAATTTGCGCTCTAGTCATTATGTATTGTCGAGGTATCCACATTGTCATTCTATAATTAAACACATTGTTGCGTAATGACTTGTTGTTTGTATGCCTTCGACGTAATCACATACATTTTCTATAAATTCTCATGAAACCTGGCCAAATTTGACTCGTTACGCAATCTAAGTCCATTGTAGCCATTATCATTTTTAAACAATGATTATTTTGGCAAAACAATAAGAAGGCAATTCATCTGAAGTGTACAGCGAAATTGCGCAACACATTTCGGACATTCTGATCACACATACATCTGTCGTATGTAAATAACAGGCAACAAGACATAAAACATCAGAACTTTTATCATTATAGGTCAAAATGTTTGCGGGTCATAAAAATGGATAAGAAAAAGAAGGGTGAACTTAGTCCTGGTTCTAAACCGAAGCAGGTACAGAGTAATAACAAATAATTCTAAAACTCACGAAACAGACTGAAGTGTTTTTATGGCTGTGACTTCGACAGATTTCAGTATGTCACTGAAACACTGTTGAAATCTTCTTTATGACCTGTCTGTATTATTGCGTTTTGCGATAGATGGCGTTAGACGTCTATTTCTGGGATTAATTGAACCAGGTGATTTTAACTGTCCTTACAGCCACTGATGAGTGTGTTCTGTAACCCTGATCTGCAGCGGTTGACGGGCCCTTCTTATGTACATGTAGATTTTTGAAAGCATCGGCAAGTAGTACTGTCGTTTTCGCTATGAAAATCAGTTTCGCTCTATATTAAATTCTATTAAGTGCTTATTTGAATCTGAATCTGTTCACTCTTGAACACGGCAAAGATAAATTTAAATCTAATTGTTTTATCAGAGTTCACAAACGCAACTAATTACTTTAATTAATAACTTATTTGTTTCTTTTTGTTTCCTCTAAAAGGCAATGCAGCTGCTAGGAATCTGTTCACTCAAGTCTTTCCTGGCTTCGGCACATCTACAGTTCATTTTTATTTCGGTTAGACAAACAATCATATAAATGCGTGTGGCTGGGGTGATAAATATTCGTAATGCTTCCCCCCCCTGTCTGTCTCTGATGGGTGTATATCAGAGCCTGTTGTGGAGGTTGTTATTATACCTTTCAGTGTACATGTTTTGTTTTTTTTTTGCTTTGTGTAAAACTTTGCAATGATGGGATGACCTGATGTGTGTGTGTACAAGATGATTTAATCGAAATATTAGTTTTTTTTCGTTTTCTGTTTCCGTGTTGTTTATCAACGGTAATCTACTCATCTCACCCGCAATCACCTGCATATATGCAAACTACACATTCAGGTTTACAATATGCTGCTGTTATTGGAATAGAGTCACACACACACTTCTTTTTTTTAAGACAATCTGTTTTCATCTAGTAGTTACCCCTAGTGTTTTTTTTTCTTTCAATTTTCCATTCATAAGAGAAAAGAAAATTAAAAATAGGTTTTACCATTTCTGTGTGTATACTGAAGAGAAAAAGGCTTTTGATTTCAAAGTGTTTTTTTTTCGCCTGTTTTTTCTCTTGTAATATCTAGTCCAAAGTTTGTCACGATTTAGAAAACTTTATAAGCACAATTTTCAGTGACTTGTTGTTACTTTCGTTCGATTGGTGTACTACTGTAACGATAGAAGACAAGCGCCAGGCAACAGATCGTTTATTGAGGAAATCAAGAGATATTTGTATATTTTTATGTACGTTATTATTCGATATTAGTAGCAGGGAGACAGCGTATTATGATTGGTTGTCTTCTCGCTGAAGGTTATTCTGTCATCTCTTTGTGGCCGTTTCTTAGAAAGTTAGGCCATATATCTGCGAATCATGTTTGCACATGTCAAGTTTCTGCTGTGATTGGTTGGTGAGTTCCTCGAGGTTAAGCTTTGTTATTGTTTTTTCTCATGACCCCGATTTGGGACGTAAATTGTTGTCTACAATTTTGGCTTGCAGCCAACTGTCACCACACTACTACTACTGCTGTGTACTACATACATGCCACGAATTTTAACTAGGCAAATTTTTATAAGTGATTTGTTGACTGACTCAAGTTATTCTTCGAAGTCTGATCATGGATTGATTTCTCACTTAGTAGAAAAGCATTGTGAACCGGAGAGCGCTGCTTTTTAGTGGGCACAGAAGGTGTATGTGTGCGTGTGTGTAGTTTTGGTGGTGTAGGTTTCATGGATTATTTTGTGATGAAGCGTTCAGGGTAACAATTCTCAATGAGAAACCGTTTTTAGAGTTTCTTTAGCTCCTCTTCTATGGTGGATTCCATGGTTCATTGATCGGATCCATTTTTGGTTTGTATGTCTCTTGTCATATCTTGTGAGTTGAACGTCAAGGAAGGATGTTTTGAATCAAAAACTCTAAAGTTAACTTTGTTGTACACAGTAGTAGCTGTTGAAATCTCGAATGCCTTATAAATTCTCTTCATTGTTGGAGATGACGACGTATCTCTTGTAAAAACCCAAGAGTATTCCTATATTTAATCCCTTTGAATCAGTATGTTCAGATATTGTTCCAGTTAATGGGGCATTTGTAAATAATTAGAACACCTGATGTTTTCAATAGGATGGAGTTAGGAATTTCATTTTGTGATTGGTTCTAGCAGGTTTACTAACCATTGGGCAATGTGATGATAGGGTGATTCCGTGACGTTAAGAAGAGGTGTGATTTTTCTGTATACTTTCGGCAATCCATACAGTCGGCGTATAATTAAACCAGATAGTCTGAGGAATTTAAACATTTCAGCGTCAATAAATGGTTCAATTTTCGGAGAATGTCTTAGTTTTTGATGGTCGGATTTTTAAATTTGGATTCGTCAGATAGGTTAGCTTACATTTTGCAAATATAGTCCTCACTGTTCATAAGTACTATTCCTGCACCCTTACCAATGTGAATGAATATATTCGCCAACTTTTCAAGCTCTTTTTCACGTTTCTTAGTAAATATAGACTGACTATTTGATTTGGTATTTGTAAACATTTGATAGTTGTCAAGGTGTGCTGACGTGAATTCTCGTAGGTGCTCTTCAGATGTTGGTACTAGATCATAAGTGTGCTTTATCAGGTTTTTGAACTAATGTTGATAAAGCTTCCAGATATTTGAGGATTTTAGGCCTAGAGATAAAATCCTTCCATCTATCATGATTGTCTGAAATACAGTTACGCTATTGGATGTTGTTCTAGACGGGAGTCAATCAGAGAAAAGATTTTAGGCAACAATTTCCATTACTTTATATATTTTACATAGGTTTTGAAATGTCACTTGCACCTGACTATATATCAAGATCATATCACTTAGCTTATGCACTTACTCTTGAATGTAGTTATGCTTTTGTCTCTTAAGTGTTTCGGCAAGTATAGTTGATTAGGAAGTGTGATCATTAATACTATGTAGTGCACTTATATTGTGGTGAGAGCTGTCTGCTAACCAAAATTGTTGAACAGCAATTTACGTCAATGTATACATCCCAAATCTTGGTCATGAGAAAAAACAAAGACCAACTCAACAACAGCAGACTTTGCGTGGGCGGATAAGATTCGCAGATATATGGTCTGACCTTCAAAGAGATGACAGAATAACTTTCAGCGAGAAAGCAACTAATCAGAAGACTCTGTTTCTCTGCTACTAACATCAAATAATAATGTACATAAAAATATATAAATATCTTCTGAGATTTCCTCAATAAACGATCTGCTGCCTAGCGCTTGTCCTCTGTCGTTACATTTTGGTGTCGCGAAATGGAAGTGCCATGGACTGCAGTTTTCGAAGAAGTAGACATATGGATCTTCTTGAGGGACTTCAAAGCTATTGAGGAGTTGAGTGGCGTCCGAGAGCCATCAGTGAAGACGCTTTTACTTGGAACGCTGGTGAAAAGTCGGGCGATGTAGCAGTCTCGCACCATGAAGTTAGCAGCTAACTATGATCCTCTCGTATTGGCGCTGACCCTGTCAAACCTACTGTGTCTAGTGATGCCAACACTGGACGAAGATTCTGAGGCGTCTCAGTTTATGGAGAGTGTTCCAGAACACATATCTCAGCAGCTACATCTGATTAACGCAGTACAGCCATTGGAAACTGGGGAGCTTGCGAATGGAACCAGGCAACTATTAAGCGAGACGGTTGTCGCAATAGAACCAGCAAAAGCTGAGCAGTCTGAGAAACGAGTTGCAGCGTGATTTGGCCGCCCTAAGAATAAGCATGTGGAGAGACCGGTGTTTTGCATGTGGCAAACTGGAAAACTGTTCCTAGCAGGGGCGACAGAGAAAAAGTCTTAAGAGGTATACTGTGTCTTCCTGTTTTTCGAGACTTGAGGTAATAGGTGCGATGTATTCGAAAGTTCGCTTAAATGACCGCGAGTTTGTGTCTAACTGACACAGGGGCAGTAGCCTCACTCACAGATAGGAGCTTATGTGAGAGTGTAAGGCCGTGTTCAGTGATATTGCACACAGTGGGGGCCTTGTGTTAAGAATCGCGGGAGTGTCAGACTGCATGGTTAGTATTAGGGAGGATAGCGTGACGTTTCCATTCCTGGTCGTATCTGAGTTGTGCCGAACAATCCTTGGGACAGACTTTTTGAGAGAAGTGGATGCAGTGATTGATGTGAAGAAAAGGGTTGTCGTTACGAAGTGTGGGTGTTTCAGCATACATGAGAATAGTGAGGTAAAGGGGATTACAGTGTCGAAAGTCCTTAGTGTAGCAACATTACTTAGCAAATATAACCATCTTTACACTGGAAAGTGAGGTCCGTACGGTTACTGTGATAAACTGAGGCACTAAATTCCAGTGATAAGTTGGAAATTAAGACCATTCATCACTCGAAAAGCTCCGTGTCATTTAAAAAGAGATGTTGTAGGATGACATTAATGAAGAAGCCGATAACACATATAGTTCTGCAGTGCTATTAGTGAACAAAAGCAACGTGAAATATGTATTTTGTGTTCATTTCAGACAAATGAACAGCATAACAGAGCTGGGACTGTGTGCGATTTAGATCGCTTACAAAGTGCGAAGCTGTTCAGAGTCTTAGATCTGCGATCAGGGTAGTGGCAACTACCAATAAAGCGAGGAGATAGAGATAAGACGGCGTTCTTTACGGAACAGAAACAATATCGGTTTAAACACATGCCTTGTGGATTGCCAGGTGAACCGTTTACATTTAGACGATTAATGACGTCGATGCATAAGAATTTGAGGGACGTCGAAGTCTATGGAGATAATCCAGTGATATACGAGCGAAACTGATCATGTAAATGCAGTTCTAAGATTCATCAAAGAATTCGGTCTACGCATCAACAAGGCTAAATCTCAGATTGCTAAGAAGAACATTACGCTTTTAGAACATAGTGTTGGAAACAGTGAGATAACACCGCTGCCAGAAAAATTGCAGCAATCAAGTCCACTGAGCCCCTGAATTCAAAGAGGAAATTAGGACAGTTTTTGGAAAGAGGAGCGTTCTATAGTCGATTCGTGAGAGGCTTCAACAAAGTAGCGGCTCCGTTCTACCGGGTATTAGGCGAGTCAAAGTTTGTCTGGTCGAAGACTCAAAGATGGTATTTGACTGCATCAAACAGCTGATGGATCACCAGAGAGTAACGCTGTAACTACTGGTGCCGGGAAAGGCGTTCATAGTGTGTACAGATGCCAGCGATTACGGATTAGGCGCAGTACTCAGATGGGCTCGTCGAATACGCCAGTCGTGTTTTAACGCGCACGGAACAGAAGTATTCATCAATTGAGAAGGAATATTTGCCGACTGTGTGGGCACTAGACAAATGGAGACCCTATTTACTTGGTCAGCGCTTCCACTTAGAGACTGATCATGAGCCATTGCAGTGGCTGAGAACCTCCAGAGACCCACATGGGAAGTTGTCACGGTGGATGTTGAGCTTGCAAGAGAATGATTTCATGGTGTCTCATGTGACAAAAGAAGAGAACGTGTGACCGGATATTTTATCTAGAACAGAAGAGGTAGAGTTACCCGAAGTAACATATGGTGTAAATGCCTTAGAGCAAGACTTGTCCAGATTCGCAGATCAGACGACACCTTGAAAACTGTCATACAGGTTAAGACTAACGCAAAAAGGTGTATCGGCCCACAAAGAACCGTGAGCTAAATCTCCTGCTCAAATAGAAAGGTTGGCTAGGTGTGAATGCTTGAGGAATGTTTACGTGGTAGGAAGATGCGGGAAGCTGCTTAGCAGTAGTATCTGATTGCATGCGCCAAGAGATGATATAAGAATGTCACCAACTAGCCCACACAGGTGTTGCCAGAACGAACTATCTCCTGAGACAAAGCACGTAGGAGACGTCAAAAGTATGTAACAGCGTGTACGCAATGATGAAAGGTGACCACTACATACAACCGTTACCGCAGCCGATTCCAGTGACAGCAGTGGGTGACCTGTGGTCCGTAGACGTAATGGGACCTTTCCCACAGACGTTCAGTGGCAATCAATGCCTTATGGTAATGAAAGCACATGCCACACGATGGCTAAACGCAGTCGCGATCCCTGATCAACAAGTAAAAACGGTGAAAGAAGCAGTGGTT